ACACCACGTTTTTTTTTTTTTTAGCAGAGGGTACCGGGGATTGAATTCAGGGGCACTCGGCTACTGAGACATATCCCCAGCCCTATTTTGTATTTTATTTAGAGACAGGGTCTCACTGAGTTACTCAGCGCCAAGGCTGGCTTTGAACTCCTGATTCTCCTATCTCAACCTCTTGAGCCACTGGGATTACAGGCGTGTACCACTGTGCCCGGCTGCACCACTATTTTTAATATGATTTTGTTGTTGGTATCCAAGTCTCCTTCTGAGTTGGAACCTGTTGAGGTGAGATGATCACTTTCTAAGCCATGGAATAAATACCACAATGAAACTTTCACTCCTTTTTCCTGCTCCAATAGGACCCGTGCCTCCTCCAGCCTGTTGGGTTAGACTCCTCCTTCATATTGGCATGGCTTTATTGGGGACAGCCCCCCAGCATCTTTTAGAAGCGGAGGCTGCTTCAATAAGATTTTAAATGCCACTGACTAGCATTTTGCACAGATCCCAGTGAGGCCACACCCTGTCACCTTTCCTGGGAGCTCCCCATTCATGTAAACCATGTCCCTCTCCTCAGATCTCTCTGTGCCATTGTGGGGAGGGGCAGAGTGCTGGTTTAGCTAAAGGGGATGGTGTGAGGATAGTCCCTGTTCTCCAGTGGAGAAATGCCTGGTGAAGGGGCAGCTTTGCTCGGGAAGCTAAGTGTGTGACTGGGCTGAACCCTGGACTCTTCACCTCATTTAATCCTCATGTCTCCTTTCTTGGGGAGTGCATAACAGCTGTGGTTATAATGGAACCCATGTCAGAAATGCTTTCATTGTCCAAGACAATTTCTATTCATATTTATAAGAAATCAACTTTGAGTCAGGAGAGCCAATCCCTTTAATATCTGATTTTGCCATCAGTAGGGGACTTAAGCAATTAAACCAGGTAACAATCCCAGGCACCTAGAAGATAGGGGCCTCATGGGCAGGTGGCAGGAGCTGAAGGGGATGGGGCCAGTCCGTATGCCAAAAAAACAGGTGCAAGTCTGTGGAGGGACGTGAAGACACAGCGTAGGTGATCCATTTGTGCTTTCAAAAGGTGACTCTCAGTAGATGGTGCTGGGACCTGAGGATGTCTTTTGAGTCATTAGGTGTAGTTAAGGCCCCTGGGAAATATGGCAGGAATGAAGCCTGTTGGATGGTTGTGAGGGCACCGCCCCTCCTCAGGGCTTACAGAGGAGCTTCCTGCCTTTCAGAAGGAGGCATTGTTGGTGGTGGTTTGTGGAAATTGCCTGCAGCCTTACACACCTGCCTGCTGCAGCTGGAGGAAGACTGGAGTGGGCATGTGGGCGGAAGTGAGTGGTGAGGTGACATAGCTTGGCACTGGGCCACCTGTGCAGTGGGGAGGGGGGGATGACATGCACCAGGTTGACAGATATGCATGGGTGTGCAGAGATCTAAAATCTAAGGTTGCCCTGTGTCCCTGTGCAAGGGTGATGGTTGAAGGCAGGGAACATAGGTATAGCACTGTTTGCACTGGGGGCTGGCTCAGGCAGCTGCAGGTGAACTGGCCTCTGAAAGTGTTCTGGATCTCTCTTGGGTCAGAAACTGCCTGGAGGTTAACAGCTGCCTCTCCCTAATGCTGCCAGTAGAGTGCTTTTCCTCCTTCTGACAAAGGGGTTTATTCTTCAGCTGAAGGGCCCTGCACTGGGGATGGGAAACAAGGGAATCTGTTCTTCTGTGGGGCTTTTTTGGAAGTATCCTCAGGCGCTTCCTCCATGGCAGGCACTCATCTCCCCTGTAGGCTGTCCCCAGCTCCCTGTCTTCCTCAAGGACTTGATGAGGTGCTGCTCTTCCCCCACCCCATGCTCTGAGACCCCACCTTCCATTGCCCCTTCTCTCGTAGAGACCCCACCCTGGCCAGAGTCTGCTTCCCCTGAGCGCAGCAGCTCTGTATGGATGCCTTTGTGTCAGATTTGCCTCCCTACAGACATGCATTGTGGCTGCTTTACTTGCCAGCAAATATGCATTGAGCACCTACTCCATGCTGGATAAGGCTCTGGGAGTGTGGAGTGATTGCCCACCCCTGCCCTCCTGGTGAGGAGAGGAGCGGGTGGACAGAGCCTACCCTGCAGATACAGAATAAAGTAGTGAGTGCTCTGGAGATAGCACTGGGGAGCTGGGCTGAACAAGCATGAGGACTTCTGGTGACTTTGTGAGAAGAGGAAGCTTAATTCCAGCAGCCCTGGTCCCATGGCAGTTGTCAGTCAGGTGTGACTGCTGCATGTCCCAGCGTTCAAGGCTGAGGGGTAGGCTGACTCATGGGGTCACACAGCTCAAGAAGGGAGGAATAGTTCCATGTGTGTGGGGTTCCTAAAGTACATGTCTGTGGGGAGCTTCCAGACCCCATCAGGAGGACAGCACAGGTTAGAGGGCCAGAGGGTCCAAATGAATGGGTTCTGTACCATCTAGCTTGGTGCCCTTTGGTGTGCTCTCACTGTACCTGTTTGGGAATGAACTTTGCTTCTGTGATAAGCAGACCTTGCCTGGATTCAGCTGCCAGCTGGGCCAGGCTCAGGCTTCCCATACCTGCTGGCCTGTTCAAAGCCCCTGATTGCAGCTTCTTTTTTATTTGTAGTGACTTGTTTTGGGGTTTTCAACCTCTTATCTACAAACGATAATATATTCAAGACTCTTTTAAAATTAAAAAAAATCTGTCAAAAGTCATGGTCTGTTGTGTGAGTGTTAGCTTTGAGTTTTGATGTGTTTGTCTGTACCACTGTCATGCAGACTTGGGTAGCACTGAGGGTACTCTGGTGTCTGCCCCTGTCCTGCTGGCCCCTGTTGTCTTGGTGAGGAGCACCTTTTGTGCTTAGTCTCCCAAATCACAAAAATCTGGGAGCCAGTCACCCAGGCTTCCCCTTATCACACACTTGTACCCAGTTGCTTCTGTGTAGGTGTCCAGTCCATTCCCTAGACCCTCTGAGGCTCTGCGCCTCTTTGCTTCTGAGCCTTCCCTCCTGAGAGCATTCTGTTTCCCTATCCTTCCTCCCCATTCCAGCTATCTGGCTCCCCAGAGACATGCAGCTCTTTTTCAACAAGATGCAAACATTGTGAACTCAAGTTCCTGCTGCCACGTCCTTAGTATCTTCTAGGTGCCTGGGATTGTTACCTGGTTTAATTGCTTAAGTCCCCTACTGATGGCAAAATCAGATATTAAAGGGATTGGCTCTCCTGACTCAAAGTTGATTTCTTATAAATATGAATAGAAATTGTCTTGGACAATGAAAGCATTTCTGACATGGGTTCCATTATAACCACAGCAGAAATGCAAGAAAGAAAACGATGAAATCCCTTGTTTTCTTTTGTGAAAATTTTGTAGTTTTATTTTGATATAATTTCAAATTTAATGAAAAGTTGCCAGAAAAAAAAATGACACGATGACCTTCATCCAAATTTACCAACTGTTTACCTGTGCCCCATTTGTGTGCCATCAGTTCTCTCTCATATATGCATATTTTTTCCTGAACCCTTCCTTAGAAGAGTAAATTGAAGATATTATATCCCTTTACTCCTAAATATATCAATCTATTGCCTAGGAACAAGAGGATTCTCTTATATAATTACAGTATAGGTATCAAATCAGGAAAGTCAGCATTAATCCAAGGCAGTTTTCAAACACAATTAGTCTTTTCTCTTCTCATGGCTCAGCATGATCACAGTTTGCATTTGTCGCGTCTCTGTGGTCTGCCTCTGATCTGGAACAGTCCTCTGTCACTCATGATATGTGTTGTTGGAGTGTAGATTTCGTTTTTTCCCAGAGGCCCTTAGTGTGGATTGGTGGGCTTGGGTCACACCCTTGGTTGCTATGTGCTGGCGTGTCAGGTGGCCTCATAGCACCAGATCAGGTCCAAGTCCTCATATTGGTGATGTCAGCTGTGAGCACTTGGCTAAGGTGGTGTCCCCAGGTTCTCCAGTGTAACAAGAATGGTTTTTACTTTTGTAACTCATAATTTGTAGGTGTTTCAAGTTGTGTAAAGATCCCATTCCTCATCCATCTTTGACCACCAGTTCAGCACCAATTGCTCACTTCCTGACTCCACTAGTGATTAGATTACTAGCATGTGGTTAGGGCCTTCTAAGAGCCCCCTGTTGTTTATGTGTTTATTTACTTATATCTCTCTGGGCCATGGATTTCTGTTTTAATGGGTTCTAATCCATATTCTCATTATTTTGATGATAACTATTCCAGAATCGGTCAATAGGGTCCCCTTTAAGCTGGCTGCTGTTTCTGTTAGGGCCCATGTTTCTCATACAGCCAAGTGCTGCAGAATCACCCTATGCTTTCTAGTGATGCTTTGAAATGTTTGTTTTAATAACTACACCAATACAGTGCATCCCAAAACATGGTTTGTGTGGACTACCAGTTGGGAGTTGTGCTTTGGGGGCTTTTGTTTGCTGTTCTTGGGAGAGAAGATATGACCATCACATGAGTGCCTTTCCTTTTATGATACTTGATAACTCTGTAAGTAGATAAATACAGATTAACCTTGCAGAGAACTGAACTGAGCTGGAGGCTAAGTACTAAAGCAGCTGCTGTTCGTAGAAACACTGTGCACCTCAAATTCCAATTCATACAACAGCCTTGTTGATCATGGGTTGGTGTCCCTTTGTTAAACATAAGAAATTGGGGTTAAGAGAGGCTAATGTACAGGTCCAGTGTCACATAGCTAATGAATGGTTGAGCCAGGGTTTTAATTCAGTTCATATAACGTGTTTCCCTACTCTAAACTGTAGAATATACACAGATAACAGTTAAATAACAAAACGTTCATTGCTGGTTTCAGGACTTTCTCTTGCTTCATAGTTCTGTCTGATGAGTTCAAAAGTATGTGGCTCACCACATTATCCCTCTCCAGTAAAACTTGACCTTTTTTTTTTTTTTAATCAGAATCATTTGGCTGTCCTAATGTCTCTTTAAATACCCAGATGTTCCTTAACCCTTTTATTTTCTTCCTATAGGAATTTGCTTGCTAGAAAACAAAATGCACGACTTGACAAACAAAATGACTCGGGATGGAAGTTATTTGGAAAAGTGCCACTCCGAGAGAATGCTCAGAGAGAGCCAAAGAAAATGCAAAAGGTACACCAGATTCAACCCCAAAACAGGCTGTCGTATGTACGGCATATGTGCACGAACCCTGCAGAAACAACTATTGCTGAGGCTTGGAAATCAGAAAACTCTTCGTATTGTTTGCATGCTAAGTTCCTAAAAAAGCTAAGCCTGTATCAGAGTGTGGATGAATTTCACCCTTTTTATTTCTTATAGCTTGTCACATGCACATAGGGAAGTTGAGTGGACAGAGTTGAGCTTCAGATATTTGTAACTTGATTAAATTTAATCATGTTTTTTCTCTAACAGCTGCAAACTTATTTATCAGCACATTTTTTGGTTTGATATTAAAGCATTCTCCCATGGGTTTCTTGGGCTTAAATCTTTTCCAGTGTAACTCTGGAATGGAAGGCTAGGCTGTCATCTTCCTAGGCTCGATAGGACCCCTTCCTTGCTCACTCTGAAGTTACCCACTTCCACGTTGGGGTCAAGCCAGGCCTGCAGCACTCTCCCCTCCTTGCTGCATTGGTCCTCCCCATAGGAGTCATGCCAGCAGCTGCAGACACGTGCTTATCTTTGCAGGGGTGGGGGGGCTCATGCACAGATGTGGCGTGCTTGTGGTCTGGGTAACCTTGACAGGTAGCCCCGCAACTTCTTCTAGGCCCCAGTGCAGCCATTTTGGCATCCTGACAGTGTGCTGTTGGCCCAGTGCTGTGACATTACCCCCAGCCACCTTCTTTCTCCAACCTGATGTTTGTCGAGGCAACACTCTTGAGGACAACTACATGCACTATCTCAGGATTGGCACTGGGTTTAGAGGAGGGATAGGCACCTGTGCTCAGGAGTAGCCCTCTAGAAATGATCCCAGGGCAGGTTTTCAAGGAGCTCAGGTGTGTGGAAAGGAGGCAAGGCCTCCCAGAAAGCCTCCCACACAGGCACAGAGTTGTGGCAGAATCATTATGGGGACCTTGTACTGACTGATTGTGATGTGCTAGTTTTAAATGGTTCCATTTGTGTTTCTAGTTCCTTTAAAACTGGGATTGACCCTGTGAGGAAGGATTGTTATCCTTAGTTTACCAAAGAAGCACTGAGACGCAAAGGCCAAAAGACTTATGCAGGGCCACGCAGCTAGGAAGTTGCAGAGCTAAAATGTGACCTCAGGTAGTCCGGCACCAGGGACTCACTGCAGGCAGGGCTGGGCAGGCAGTGGGTAGCATGAACTGGGGAAGCAGCAGGAGGAGGCTGTCCCCAGTGCTGGTGTGCTTGGTGCCCGCCTCCTATCCGAGGGTTCTCTGTTGGTAAGGAATGACGAACTCACCCTGGCAAGTCCAGGTGAGAGAAGGCAGGGTCTGGCCTAGTGCTGAGGTCATGATGGGGTGCAGTGATGGCCCCTGTGAGTACCGGACAGATGGGCAGATGACCTGCTGGATGTGGGAGAGGCTGAGGCGCAGCCTGGCACTGGCCTCTATAGTCTAACCTCGGCCAACTTTCTTGAATGCTGTCCGCCATTCCCCGTGCTAATTGTCTAGACCTGGGAGACTCAGTAAGTGTTGGAATTCACCTTTGTGATTGTGGTATTTCAGTTTGTAGGCTTATCATAAGCCACATTTTGTAGGCTTATCAAGCAAGCATAAAATTATAAGTTTGTATGCAAAACCCAGATACAAATTTCTTAGGAGACTAAGTAATAACACTGTTGTAAGGTTTTTAAATAAATCTGCACTTTAAGCAAAAGTAAGTTATACAGATCAGACATTCCCATCACTTTTAATATCTGTTGCCTCATATTTGAATTTCTCATTTAGTACCCTGGATTATTTGTTCATTTTTGTTTTAAGGTGAACATGTTCTTGACCTCAAAGGGGTTTTTTTGTTGTTGTTATTTTCTTTTTTTGAATTGAAATGATCAGGCCAGCTGATTATGTGGTAACACAGTACTTTACAGAAGACCATCTGGCTTCAGTCATCAATAATAAAGAATGTCATTATACCTGCATGAGTCATCCAGCCCTGCCGAGGATCTGCTTGCTTGTGCTTTGTGTCTCTCATCTCTCATGCCCTGCTCCAGGTTGGCAAAGTCAGGGAGGAGTTGAAGTGAGGGGCCTGTTGCTGTGAGAAGGCTTCTGGGCACCAGGCCTGAGCATTGCTGTTACAAATATAAACTCTCTCAGCCCCACTGTGGAGAGGCGGGAATGGGCCTTGAGCATCTACATTTGTGATCTAGAATGGAGATGATAATGTGTTAGGTCTAAAGCATATTTATAAGGTGTTCATGAAACTCTTAATTCCTTTCCCTTCTTTGAGAATTTTTATTTTTTTAAATTAATTTCTTTTTTTCTTTTTCTTTTTTTTTTTTGAGAAAAGCAGCATCACATGGTGATTTAGGAACATGAGCTTTAGGGCCAGACTGCCTGGGTTTGCATCCCAGCGCCGCCACAGTTGAGCTGTGACTTTGGTCAAGTTACTTAACCTTTCTGAGCCTTAATTTTCCTCATCTCTAGAACTGGGAGAAAAATAATATCTACCTTTAAGGTGGTGAGGATTAGATGAGTAAATATACATCAGGCATTCAGAGTAACAATGAAGGTAGTAAGTGCTGGAAAAATGTTCACCATTAGTACCATTTCTTTCTCCTGACAAGATAGTCACAAACAAGAGAAAGTGGAACTGTAGTGTGAGAAGGAGCCTGAGCCATTTATTTGCTGCTTCTGCAAATACCAGGCCTCTTGGGACCAGCTCTTTTTTTGCCTGGGGTGCTGGAAAAGCAAAAAGCAGTTGTGTTTGAGATGCCAAGCTGAGGGACTGGTATACACCAGCCAGGAGCTTTGGACTTGATTTCCAGCATCACCTCTTTTTGTCTGTATGACCTTATGTGTTGTTTCTTCTTGGTTTTCTCATCTGCCAAATAGTCCTTACCACACCTACTTACTGGATTGCTGGGACTGATGAAAGTGGAAATGTATGTGATATATTTCTGCCCAGAGTCTAGTACAGTATATGGCTCAGAGTTAGTCAAGAAGAGGCTCTCACAACTTTTAGTTAATAAATAGACTCAGTTTTTGATGTAGATGCTGTATATGCTTTGTCCAGGGCACATCTGACTTCGTTCTAACTGGACCATGTTCTTACTTGGGCCTTATAGACTTCAGTTGGGGTAATGTTAATGTATTACTTTCAGTTATCTTTTCAAATTTCATAAAAATTTTGAAACTTATGTTTTCTATTAATTTTAATTATGATTTCAGAGAGATTTCCTTAGCAGGGAAAATAAAAGTCACCAGTGGTAAGAGAGTCACACTAAAGCCATAGTTCCCTACCCACCCACCCCATAACTTTATTTACTTATTTTTTCATGTGGTGCTGAGAATCAAATCCAGTACTTCACATGTGCTAGGCAAATGGTCTACCATTGAGCCGTAACCTCAGCCTTAAAGCCATAGTTCTTGAAGTCCAGACAAGGCATGCCATTATTAGCTGGCGTTTGTGAGAAATGCACATTCTCAGGCTTCAGCCACCTCCCTCTCCTCAAACACAGTGTGCACGCGCGCACACACACACACACACACACACACACACACACTGGGGCTGGGGCCCACAGGTAATTCTTATGCATGCTAAAATCTGAAAATCAGTGCTGTGCAAGAAGGGAATATTGGATTTGGGAATAAAATAGTCGTTTTCACCTTTACTTAGTTAGCTCTGGGCTAAAGGGTCCAGAGAACACCAGCATACAAATATTGCTAACTGCTGGTGAATTGGAGTTCTTGAGAATAAAGGTGGGGAGAAAGAGAACGGCCTTGAGGTCGTTTGGGTTTGTATGCACCAGGGCTCTGGCCAGATTGGCAGGGATGGTGACATTGTCTTGGAAGTGTTGTCCTTTGTCTTATAAATAAAAGGGGGCTATCTTTCTTGGATTCCTTGGTTCTTGCTGCACAGTTCAGAGCCACTGAGTAGATTCATCCTGGGATCACAGTGAAGTACAGGACTTCCTTGGCTATTGCCTTCACTGGATCAAGCAAAGAAATTTTAACAAATAGATCCAATAATTAGTTGCAATTGTGATAAATGTGGAGAAGTCCAGAGTGCAGTGATCACAGAGGAATTTTTGAACCACTGAGAACATTTCTTTGAAATCAAGTTTTTCAAGTAACTGCCAATTGCCCTGTGCAATGGTCAGTTCTCAGCCCTTGTTTTCTGGACTCATCAGCAGCTAACCCCTTTCTTTCCCTCCAGATGGCTCATCCTTCCTCTTCCCAATCCTGTAAATGTTGGAATGCCTCTCAGGTACTTCCCAGTCCATGGTCACTCCTTATGTCATTTCTGCTGGACTTGAGTCTTCATAGGCCAGACCTACACGGGAGCCCTATGCTTGTCTTCAGTCAGGACTCTACCCCTGAACTGCAAATCCAGGCATCTAGCTGCCTAAAAGACTGTAAGAAGACCAGGTAAAAAGTAAATGTGAAGCTTTGTAATTCAAGCAGATGTCAGAGGCTTGGGGCTGGGAACATGATTCAATCGACTTTGTGAATCTTTTAGACAACATTGTGTACATAGACTTAAGGAATGGGCATTATTGTGAGAAAATGAGGCTGCGCAGATCCAGTCCTGACAGCCATTGACAGGGGCAGTGATGGCTGCAGGAAAGGACAGGCTGGTAGATTTCAGTATCATGGATCTGACTCTTGTCATGGGAGCAGAGGTAAGTACATGGCCTGTTGGTTTGGGCTCATATGATGGGGAGTGTCTTGGATGGCCTTCTAGAATTTCAGGTTAGCTCTTAGATCTTAGAACTTCAGAAGGTGGCTAATCCAAGGGAGCTTGAACTGACATTCAGTCTTCTCACCTAGGATCTTTCTGGGTGACTCACAAAGTCACAGAACATCACAAATTGCAGATAATGCAGATCAGGGTGGTCAGTATGAGTAGCTGGCTTTGGACCTAGAGGCGAACTACAAGATAATAAAACTATTTTCACTTTCATAAGCCCTTACACCTTTGGAAGGTGAGCTTCAATGAGCTTACAGAGACAG